GAACTGAGCGCATTTATATTCCCGTTGAGGCTGCCTGACAGCAAAGACCCCTTCCCAATGTAGTGCTTACGTAATCTGCATTGGCTTTATGCTTCAACTCCCCCTTTGAGTTTGTACATGCAGGAAACATCCCCACTGTGTGCATTCTTAGTACTTTTACAGCTCCCCTGTCACTGAGGATCAATGTCATTGCTCGGCTGCAATGTTTCTCGTTAACACTCCCGCGTCCGTATACGTTGCACCGCGGCCAACATAAAGTATTTCACTCTTTTAATCCGCTTTCATTTCAAAGTAAAATAGAAATGACTTCTTAGATTTAGGCAGTTGTAGACATCCTCCACTTTTCGCCATCGGCCTCTGCTCCTCATTTCCTTCAGCCCAACCCTCCCCACCCCTCCCCCAAGGACGGAGGAGGAGAGTTAATGCTCAGTGAGAGGACCCACGTGTATCCCGGACTAATCCGAACACTTTCTCCAACCACTACAGGCACATACTCCCGCCTGTAGCCATGGTTCCCTAAAGAGGAGTGGCGAAGACCAAAATGAGCAGAGTGCTGTCTGCGGTGGCCTCGGCCTCCCCTTTTGTCTCTGTTCCTCCGTCCTTCCCCCCACTGCTAATACTTCTCTCGTAGCCACAGGGGCCGTGGCGATAACAGTTGCACGCATGCATGCAGACGCGTGCACTCTGATCCTTGACAGAGACGCGCTCTGGAGGAATGCTGGTGCTTTAAATGGCCGCTGATGTTTTCCCTCAGAGTTATACAGCAGGTTCATCCACCACATTCATTACTTTGACGTGGTGCTTTGGCTCACTGAGCAAAAAATAAAATGATGGCGGTGAACACAATATGGTGTAATTATGGAGTAATTATCGCTGATGTGCTCTCAGTCTGCCGCAGCTGACCTAATCTAACGTTTTAATCAGCATGAAGGACCGAGCATGGGACCCTGAGCTGGTGCAGATGGGGGGACGGCCCTCATCGCCGATGCACTTAATGTCTCCGTGTGATTTTGGCTTCTTCAGACACATGGGAGGACGTGGCCCGTCGCCAAATCCACTTTGTATGTGTTGAGTGTACGGCCCAGTGCTCCTCCTCACCCTCTCGTGCAAAGACAGGGGCGCATTGTGCACAGCGGAGCACGCCTTCGCCTTTGTGTGCGGTTGCCCAGTGATCACAAAGAAGGGCACAGAGCATGTGCCTATGTGTGTGTGTGTGTGTGTTTGTCCACTGTGATTATGTTTGGATGTAAGTTTTTTCATTGGTGCACTCACTATGGGGAACATCTTCTGTATAAAGCATGCACAGTGGCATCTCTAACACAACCTAAGAAACAAACAAACAACAACAGAAATGTGCATCAACAATCTTTTTTTGTGAATAAGTATATAGAAATAAATATTTGATGCACACAAGTAGTACATAAAGCACTAAAACGTTATGTCCAGCCACAACAAATCAACCCCTTGATGTGAACAAGACGAAAATGTAGATATTTTTATTTTCCACCAACAACAATTTCCTGTAAACAAGATTAAGGAAATCTGCTCATCTGGCAAATAGAAGTAAGGACTGTACTGAACCAGGAGGAACGCTCACATTCACAAACGGCGTATAAGGATTAGAATAAACCGATGAAAACTCATCCAGCCCCCATCTGCTCAATTCGCATCACCACGGACATGTTTCTGGCATGGTTAATGCACAAAGATGTGTCCTAAAAACAACACAGCGATTTCCAAATTCCTTTGATAAACTGCATCCAGTTTCAGCAGCACACGTTATGCTTATCCAATGTGGCCACCGGGAACATTAAACAATTTCTCACATTTGACTGAGTTCATTGGTGGTGCTGCCAAGGAAACACAAGGTCAAGAGAGAGCTCTAGGGCATCCGTAGATTTAACCACAGGAGGGAGTTTGGGGGTCAAGGGTCACACAGAGAGGTGGGAGAGTGGTGGAGGAGCTGCAACATAAAGGGTTAAGTCCTGTGCGTGTTAAATGATTACGCAGACAATGTGTTTGTAGGGTGAGTATTTTGTTTACGTCACAAGCAAGTACAAAAATAATCTTCTATAGAGATAGTGAGGATAAAAGGGACGGTGTGTGATCATGTCCTTTCTAAATCCGGTTATACCACCTCTTTGTACAGCAAACTGGCTGAATTGGAAATGGATGGGTTGGGATACTCCTGCCCTGCACTGCGGCAGATGCAGACAATTTGGTGTGTCTGTGTCTCACAGAGAGAGAGAGAGAGAGAGAGAGAGAGATAGCGAGAGAGAGCGAGAGAGAGAGGGAGAAAGCAGACACTACAGAACCAGTAGCACACCTCCTCACTAACCAACCCAAAGCATACACCTGCACAAATAGTTATATTTTTTTTTTAAGATGACAACCTGGAGGAGTCGAGTCTGCCTGCACACAAGAAGCAGAAGGCGACTTCTGTAATGGGGCTTTTGGGGTTAAACATGCTGTAAAAAGTGCACAGCACTGAGGGCTGTCTACTCAGTGCTGCCTCAGATCACCCTTTGTGCACCTGCAGAAAATCTGTCCAGTCCAGCTTGAACACTGACTCACTGTGCAACACTGTCAGGTCTGAATCCTGTTTGTGCTGTGCATACTTTTTGACTAGAGCACAATCACTCTCTACCACTAGAGATATCATGATATTACCACTTTTATGAACTCAATTTTGTGACGTGAGTTAATATTCTGATTAGTCAAACATGTGCGTCAGTCAGAATTAATCCACTGTGTTTTACCGCCCATTAGACTGGCTTTGTGTGGGTAAAAGGCTCTCTCTCTGTCTCTCTCCTCTGCTTTTGTCCAGTAATCCTCAGTCAAAATCACCCAGTGTTAGTGTAGGAGACAAAGGACCTTTCTGAGGTGGCTGTGTATGGCAAAGCCTTAACAAAATGGCAGAGTTGAACTTAAAGCTCACTGGACTGTGCCATGATGCCACTTCTCTTTAACTGAGTCCTCGAGGTACAAGCCACAGCTGAGTGGGCAATTGAACTCACTGTGCCTGTCCAGATGTTGGCCTAATTTACCACGACTAGCAGCGTATGTGGCCCATTTACATGTCCTCACACCACACACAGCGTGTTACAATGTCAGCCTCCACCTCAGGTCCTCAGCAATAAGCAGCAAGGATCCATAACTTGGATTTTTGCGACGTCAATAGCAATATTTGTAAAAGGTACTGCTCCCGTTGTCAATACTTTCATCCTAAGGATAATCAACTCTCCGCTCGGCATTTCAGGGTTTCTCAGCTCAATGTTTTACCGTTGCTGTTGTGACAGCAGGAAAACTGTACTCTACTTGCTGATGAGAAAACAACAAACATGTTAGAGCATTTAGCAGGTAAAGAGTCCTTTACTCCACTGAGCAGTTGGATGAGTCTAAAATAGAGATAACGGCACATGTCCTTCCATTCATCAGGTTGAGAAACACGACTCCAAACGCATGATAATGTTGACAGGGAAGACGAGGCAGCGTCTTGGCATTCGTGCCGGCACCTCGACCACATTATGTGGCACCAGGCCAGTGTTAGACACCTCCGCAGCTGGCAGCGACCAGATGTGACGGGTTTGAAGACAGATGAGAGCAGCAGTAGACGCGGAGAAGCTGTGATTATATCCAACAACCTGTAAATTGAATCCTGTCCATCCTTTCATCCATATATCTATCCATCTTTAGTATTTTACTTTCTAAGTGGTGGATATCTAGACCTTCGTATGCGTATTATGCTGTTAATCATTTTCCCTGGTACACCTTTGACTGACATTTCTTTCTTCTCAGTCTGGGATAATAACGGCGCGAGGATTAGCGGCTATGATCTTGGCTTAGGGATGAAGGAATCCCCCATACATCTTGAGTTAAATTGTCTCTATCCTTAATAACACACGTGCTGCATGCATGTGGTGAGATAGACCCTGTTAAAGAAGTATTAGCATTTATGGAGTGTAAAAGCACCTCACTTCCTACAGAGATTATGGAAGTGATACACCACAGGATCATTGTGTTCAATTTCCTTTCAACACATTGTGGAGTATCCAATAAGAAAGATTGGGCAACATTTTCACATTTTCCGAACTATGTTTGAAGCCTATTAATCAATTTCCCAGTATGATTCAAGTATGGAACTTAGTATCTAATATTAATGTTAAAACACCGGAAGGAGAGAGAACTGCACACATGTCAATAGTATGTTACCATTAGAGGCATCTCAACTTTCCAAAGAAAAATGCTGTAATTCAACATTTTATTAAATATAAATATGAAATATTATTCCGTGTTTCCCTGCCCTCTTGTCTCTTGTCCGTGGGTTGGTTTGGTTACTCCTTTTCCTGATCTCCGGCAGCTGGCTAACCCGACTCTCATCCCCTAATCGACTGTACGGCCTTTCCTCTCAATCGAGGCCCGATTGTTACGCGTACCACAGTCAAAGCCTTGGACCAAAGCAGTTCTAGTGGGAGCCGCTGTGTTTTTTGTCTTTTAATCATCAGTTTCCTAGTGTGATCTCTGGCTGCCTGTCAGGTATTCAGGATTTCCAATCCCTTGTCTGGCTGCCTGCGTCATCTCTGTTCAGAAAAACAAGGTTAGTAGTAAACCTTTTTATCAGTTTTATCAGACTCTGCATGCTGTGTTCTGGGTTCTCTTGTACACAAACATACAAATAGATAATTATACTAACAGCTGGCGGTTTCATGAGGATTCTTGAATAACTACTTGAATTCTTATTCAGATCATTTAAGACAACACTGTGAATCTGATATATTACCGTGAAGAATATCATCACAGAGAGTGACATTTCGGTCAAAAATTGTTAACAATTTACATTTTAAATGGAAGGGAAACAAAATTTTGAGGGAGCCGTAAAAGGCAAGCTTTATTTAACACAGCAACAAAAAAAAAGAGGGAAAAAAAATTAAATTTCCAAAATAGATTTTAAACAAATGTACATGTCAATAAAAAAGGCAAAAATTGCTACCAATTAAATATTCACATCAACAACAATTTTAATTTGACATCCTTGAAGATGTCTTAGAATAATTATAAAACAACAGGCAATATGTACAATCATACAACTTTAATAGGACATGCTTAAGAGTTTGACTGCACCATTGTACCATACACTGACTGAAACACAAAGGCTGCATATTAACGACCAACATTTTCCGTAAATACCTGTACCATCTTCAGAAGGTCTGGCATCAGCTCCCCGACCCAAGGAAAATATCAGTTTTTTTTTTTTTTTTTAACAAGGCTGGCATTAAATGCGTAACGGACGCTGTAATAATGGACGTGAGGATGTCAACCGCCTCTGTCCACACGACCAACCTATTAGCGGTCTATGCTGAATTGTTGCTAGGCAATGCTAAGGAATTTGGAGTTTGAACATGAACTGGAAGCCTTTGTGCAATCACCGCTTTAAGTTCCTCCTACTACCGGGGACAGTCCACAGCCCCGTGAAAACGCAACAACCTTCTCTGAGAGATATTTCCAAAAACAACACCGGGACTCACATTATGCCTTTAAATACCGCGAAATTTAAAAGAAAATACACAATAACCAAATACAAAAAGAATGGAAAAATAGCTTTCTTTGGACAGGGCCAGCCTGTGCATTTTGATTACTTGTTTACTTCCCATTATCTCCTCTCCCCCTCCACAAACTAGCCCTTTTTACAAGATGGTTTATAGATTTTTGAAGTAGATTTCTCATTATAGAAGTTTATATTGTCAACTCACTCGAGTAGCTGATTTAAGTCCTGCTGCTTTTATTATGATTTTGTAAAATTGGCAGCAAATTCTAGAATCTCCAACTCAAAGAGTGTTCTTATTGACAATCTATTTTGAAGCAGGAGATCAACATTGATTCTTCTATATTCCAGTAGCGACTGACACAGAGCTGCAGCCTCTTTTTACAGCAGAGAGGGTTTTAGTCTATAACATGGACGTCCATGGAGCACTGAGTGAAAGTAACTACAAAGCTGCATCTTTATTGCCACACAGATTATCTTGCATCACAGACTTAAATCTTTATTGCTTTATGGTTAGAAGCAAAGAGATCAATGCTGCACACACATAACCATGAAGCCAAAGATTTAAACACTGAAAAGGGTCCAATTTTTGCTTTGAAGTCATTGTAACCTACAGTAAGTGCTGCGTATTTAAGGTCAATGGATTAACAAGAGTTAAGGACACAGAACTAGTCATCTCGGAGTAGAGTCAGGGTGGGAGTGCTACATTGGATTGTATTACAGTGGTCAAAAATCTCATTGACTGGGATATGAAAGGCATTTTTTGAAACTGCATACCATTTGTGAATTGTTGAAAAACTGTTGCAATGCTACAAATCTTTTTGGGAAAATATTTGACCATATTGGGCCTGACTGTGTTAGTGTTATGCTTTTAAAAATGCCTCATAACACTTTGAACGGCATCTTTAACCCGCCACAGCTTAATAAATATCACGCCACAGAAACTTTCATCATTTTTATATAAAAGCATCTTTTCTCACCATTGTTTCTGTCCTATTACCCAAACTGAATTTCAAAATAAACTTTAGCTGTGACAGCAGAGACACTACGCAGCAGAAACACCCAAAGCTCGACTGAACACTTTTTCTGTGAATGCGTTGCCTCGGTTCTGCAGTCGTGTTGTATGCACAGAGCCTCTTCAGCACTAAAAGCCTGCGGAGCAGCGCTAGCCAGGGCTGCACGACCATGCATCAACAATCCATGCAGGTTGAAATGGTCTACACTGCCGTCTGCACGGCAGCCTGCGCTCACCGGCGCTTTCCCCTGCTCCCGTCCCCTCAGAGACAACAAGCACAGCTCACTATGGGACAGCTCTCCTTGTGGTTTTCCCCACAACTTCTCCGTGCTTTCACGGTCCTAAATGGGGACGCCAGGAACCAGCTATTTCACTCCTCACACTCCTTACTAAGGAGGGATGTACAGGATGCTGTTAATTCCTGACGGCTGACATGCTAGATTTATTTTTGTACTTAGAAAAATATCCATTGAATCGTCTGAGAGGCATTTACATCACAAGATTAAACGTCACACGTTGCACATTTCCAATTTGGACAAAAGCAATATGTGCCTGGGGATATTAAAATCATACAGATGTAACACCATTGTAGTTGCATATTGTTTACAGGTGAAAACAATTAAAGCTTGATGAAAAATTGTTGACTGATATCGTTTCTCCGATAGCTAAACAATAGTGGAAAACGATGGATCTGCGGTAAAAGGTTCAGGAGCAAGTGGACAGCGAGGTGTCCACTTCTTCTGAGGGGTGTTTGGTGTCTGGAGGGGGGGCGAGGGGGTGAGAGAAGGATTCAGCAGGAAACCCTGATGAAACCATCGTGTCCACCCCCCCCCCTTCCCCGAGACCAAAGAGGCGGGGGGAGGCCGGGGGTTGCATGTGACGACTGTAACCCGGCACGTCTTCACTCACATGACCGAGCAGCTCTTGGTCTTCTCCTTCTTGAAGGTGGAGGAGAGCAAATCCGACTTGCTGGGCAGGTGGAGAAGTCTTTTGGAGAGGCGGCGGGTGGGGCTGGGCTTGGGGAGGGGCTGCAGCTTGTTGATGCAGGCCATCGCCGCGGTGCGGAACACGCTGTGGATGCTTTTCTCCGAGGTGAACGCTGAGCACTCCAGGTAGGCTTCGGCCCCCAGCTGCTTGGCCATAGCAGAACCCTGCAACAGTTGTGGTGAATGGTGAAGGGGGGGTCGATCATTATGCCCTTTAAAACATTTTTCATTGTTTTCTAGTTGCACCGGGGTCGCCATGTAATGTGGTCTTTGGGAAGAAATGCCCTGAAAGCTCATAATAAATCGAATCAATAAATAGAAATGAGGTCGCTCTTCTGGGTGACATTAGATGTATTTTCGAACTCTTTGTCATAAAAAATAAGCTATTTTCATACACATGCTTTGTCTCACCTGCTCGTAGGTTATGGGAGTCTGTTTCTGGTTGGACAGCTCCATCAGCGTGCACACGTCTGTGCGCAGGTCGGTCTTACAGCCAATGAGCAGGATCCGGGTGCTCGGACAGAAGTCAAGGATCTCCGTTTTCCACTGTGGACAGAAAGGGACGCTCGATTCAGTGGATCCATTTTGCCACAGTGTACAGTAAATAATTACCTGTCGTAAGGTATAGAATTGTATACAAGTGAAGTACTGGAGCCATTACCTTCTTCAAACTGCTGTCCACAGTGTCAGGACGGCTGATGTCAAAACACAGCAAGACGGCATCTGAGTCACTGTAGCACAGGGGCCGTACGTTGTCATAGTATGGAGAACCTGGCGGGAAATAGATAATCAAACATGTGGTTTAATGACAAGACAAACTTTGAAAACAAGTTGCTCCGTATGCACTCAATTGACTACAGGGACTCACAGCAGAATGAATGTATGGCTGAATGTTACTGATTGGTGAGACAAACATTTCAGAGGAAACTGAATGAGCCGATTTTAAATCTTGCCAAAGGGGGTTTTTCATGGTTGAACGTTAACACACACCTACACTTTGTTTGTTTCTAACTTATTATTGTGTGTTTAACGCTTAAAGTGCTATATTTTTAGTTGGTTGGTGCAAAAAGGGACAATCGGCACCTCCATCCCGCTGAGCCTCACTTTGTTGTCCCTAAAGCGTCTCTTCCCTTTGCTCCTGTACCCTCTGCTGGCTTATCAGAGTGAGAGAAGACAACGATCCAGCACTAAATCCTCATTGATCTTCTCTTGCAGTAGATTACGCAAGTGGAACGGTGGGCTCGGGGCAGGCAGACGCTCCCACTCATGCTCAGAATCCTTAAGTAAACCGCCCCCCCGTCCCCCCGTCCCCGCGTCCCCCTCCCCCCCGCAAAAAAAATCCTCTGCTCGCCGCGCAATACCTTCAGCCCCTCTGTTACCACAGCAACAGCCTTGGAATCCGCCATCTACATCAGGCATTCCTCCCACCTCTACATAAAGGCTCGCTTTAACTGCCAATCAATCACCGTACACCGCAAACTGCCCGCCCACCTCCTGCTGGGGACATTCCTCTGCTCTGCGACAGAGTTGGGGGACACCGACGTAAATCGGTCACAGACACAAAGTCCCAGAGTCACAGCTAACGACACAGACTCAATATTTAAAACGTGGCAGATGCCAGAGGTCTTTGATCAGATGAAACAGAAGAGAAGCAGCTCGATGGGATTAATACCATTCAGCGCTGCACTTACAGCCACAGATAACAACGGTCGTCCGTGTAATTACTCGGCCGGTAATATTACACAGCCGTCCTAATTGATTTACAGCAGAGAAAACAATGCATGAGAAGGAAACGTATGAAGAGGCACACACAACATGGATGTGTGCATACAGATCAGGTTCATGAATACTTAATGATTTCCACATTATCAAAGGGTAAAACTGAATTTGCCAGCTGCCAGGTGCTGTGAGTGGAATAATGATAAGCTGGGATGAGATTTCCTTTAGGGCTCAATGTTGTGAAGAAAGTAAACATTGCAGCAGTGGAACAAAGGGACTTGTTGTGTTAAAACTCTGTTTTTAAGCTTCCGGATAGAACAAAATGACTTAGTGTTAAATAGCAAATTAACTGAAACAGTGGGATTAAACTAAATGATTTACTACGGCTGGATTTTTACAGACGGCACACCCTGAGAATGCAAATGACACCGTTTACACTTTGGGACACGCTCATCTGAGAGAAAACTTTGCCTTTGCTGACTGCGAAAATCGACACATATTAAAATCAGAGCAATTAGCACCACTGGGATGAGAATGTGTGTGTGTGTTTTTGGGGACTCTAAGGTGTCTCATGGGAGAATCAAGAGGCACGGCGCTATAAATCCTATCAATTACCCCCAGGAGGTTATCACACAGCCAGGATCCTGGTGTGATTCTGCATTAAAATGCCAACTGATCTAAATGCAGAAATCGATGGAGAGCTGAACAGCGGGTCGAAGAGCCATTGAAATTAAAGCTGACAAATTAGTTACACTGTCAAGAGAGTGGGGGGAGATCGAGGGAATGTCTAGGAGGGTTTTTTTTCTTCAAAGAAATCCATTTTTTGTATAAAGGATACAGGATTCAATGGACGTCTCCATAGGAATGAAAAAAAGTAACTGTGTTATTATTATTAGAAAAAACATTATCATATATATATAGTTCCTCAACATGCTTTTTTGGGGAGAGCAGCCGCCTGAACGGCCCTTTTCAGGCACTCCAGGACCCAGTTTCTTATCCTGGAAAAAAAGTTGTTTCTATTGTATTGAGAAAAAGCCAAGAGGAAGAGAGGAGGGAAAGCAGGCGTGCAGCCCGCTGAGGTAGATCACAAAGAGCCCTCCTATGCCATTAATCCTTGGCCCCCCTGCAGACTGATATCACAGAGCACCAGTCCCTGTTGCTTTCCCTCTCTTCCTTCCTTCCACATATAGAGTCCGCTCCAAATGCTTCCCTCTTCTCAACAGCATGCCGTGACAACAGATGGGAGAGTTTCTGAGGCACCAAACACGAGAGCGAGGCCGACTAACTGGGGAATGAAAGGAGAAGAAATAACCAAAACTCCCGCTGCTGAGCTCAACTCCATCCCTCTTAAAACGGTGCGGTGCCCAGAGCAAAGGAAGGAAATTGGGCCAGAGCAGAAGTAGGCTCCGCAGACCCAAACGCCGGGAGGTGGGGGGGTTCTTTTTCAGTATGTGCATGAGTGAGCCCGAGAGGGTATTTTTGTGCATGTGTGCTAAATCAACTGAGCGACATGTAGCCTATCTTCATCATTAGCACGCTCCTCTAGAGTGACAATGCAGGGGTCAGACAGAGTAATGATCCAGCGATGCGATGACTCACAGATTCGCCCACACTCATCCGACCGCTGCTGCAGCTGATAACTATGGAGTTCGCAGACAGGCCCGAAAACACACTACATTGCGTCAGACAGTTGTTCCCTGGTTTCACATGCCAGAGCAAGTCAGAATCACTGCTGAAGACCCCCTGCAGGGAGGGGCATGGATGGCCCTTTGTTCCTCAGCATCACCACGTTGGGCTGGTAACAAGCTTTGCTTTGTAACTTGTGACACTGGCAAAGTTGTCTCAGACAATAGATGGTTTATAAAATGTAAAGCTATGACACAAATTACATTTGAAGACCATATAGTTATGTTTCAGGGATTTGTGCTATTAATAGTCAGTGTGATCAGGCTTCGATCAAATGTATCCGCCGAGAGCTCTACCTACATTGTGATTAAAAACTGCTATTAAGTGTTAAATAAGTGATTTGATTCTTTGTTTAATCGTTTAATCTCACAATGGGAAAAAAAATGGTGTCAACCTTAAAATAGATAACACAACCTTAAAATAGATAACACACCAAACAACTAATAGCAAACCAGTAAGCCATAACTATCAGCCTTTTCACATTTCCATTCTAACATCAAATTGTTAGTAGACATACATCATGGTAATCCATTAAAATAATTATTCCATATTAACAATGCCTCTTCTTTACAATGATACAGATATTTTCATCTGATTAAATGGATATTGAGTTCATTAGAAATCAGTCTCATTCATTAACCATACAAGAAATGATTAGTCTATATACAATATCCTCTGCACCGAACCAGTCAACCTGAAATATATTTCCATCCAACACCATGAGGAGTTTCATTATTCACTATCCATGAGCTACTGGACAATGTTCGCCTTCTCCTCTTTGTCTGCCCTCCCCTCCCCCCCGTGTCCAATCGGACCAGGCTGATTAAAACTGGTGAATTGATTTTAGCCTGTAAATCCATTGCCGGGCTGAGAGAAGGAGCTTCCCGCCATGTGTAGGTAGTGATGAGGTCAGTCCGATCGATTCGGGGGAGTTACAATAATGAGAAGACCCTCTCAGCTTGGGGAGAGGCAGCAGCAGCTCCACACAATTAGACCAAATTACACTATGAAGAAAAAGCTGTACGGTGTGGCCAACAAATTGCCCCCGCGGGTGTAGTCCACTACCTGCGGCCTGACATCAGATACATGACAGTCATCTATAACAAATGACAGAGAGGAGGGGCGATATTGGTTCTCCCCCTTACACAACAAGAGAGTGAAAATGATGTCCTTAAATCAAACCTAAAGCGTGATGCAAATCAAAATATTCACATTGCCGCCATGAATATCTTTATGTGATGCCTGCCGGCCAATTTAATATGATATTTGACAACTGTCTGTACGGTACGTTGACTTTATAACTGTATATGTTCATTGTTTCCCCGTAATGCAATTCAGACACAAACTAATCAATGCAATTTTTGAATGTGCGTGACCGACAGGGAGGCTAACAGAGAAAAGGTTTAACAGAGAGTAACAGAAAAGAGTTGAAGAGGTGAATGGTGGGCAGGAGAAAAGAGCAAACTGCAACAGAAAAGCTGAGAAAGTGAAAGAAGTGAAAGAATGGAGAATAAAAGAAGGAGAGAAAGAGAGAGCACGTCGAACTCATCGGGTCAGTCAGAAGGGGGGGGGGGGGGCAGCGCACCTATTCAGAGTCTTAATCCCCTGCATCGTGCTGTGCTAGTGAGTGACCCCCGCAGCAGCATATGGAGGCAAATGCAGGTCACCAGAGTTTCTGAGCTGCCTCGTGTCTGTCTGCTCAACAGGAAGTCTTTCTGTGTGCACACTCCCCCCCACCCCCCCACCCACCCGGCACCGGGCCCGTTCCTGCTGGTCAGACCAAAGGTCCACCGTCTGGGATTAAAAACCCGGATTTGGTCTGGGGAGGGAATTACACTCACTTTTCTCCTGACGCTTTGGGATAATGGTGAAGGGGGAGGGGGGGGCTGATTGAAACACAGTGGATACGGCATATGTGGGTCCGTTACATAAAAGATTTGGAGCTCACAGACGATGTACAAAGATACACAAGCCAACTTGCTCAGCAAAAGTGACGAACTGACACATCTGGCACTACATGGGGAGGGACGGATGGGCTGGAAGACAAATCGCTGTGCAGTGAGCATGAAGGGAATCAAACAGGTGCTGCAGACCCGTGACTACAGAATCCAGGTCAATACGCCGAATGGCAGATCCCCGGGGAGATCCGCACTGACACATTGACCCTCTTTTTTTTCACGCTTAGTGTAAATGAACATATGATGCACAAAGTCCGCTATCGCAACGAGTGAGGCGGAATAATCCCTATGCCTCGTTTTCCAGTGAAACAAAGTCGGCACAGAAATGTGCCGGCAGGTTTTGTCAATCTCTTCATCTTGCCATGTGCAAAAAGCATTGGGTGATATGAAAGGGCATTTAACGCTTAATCATCTGGCATTTAGAAATGAAAGATGGATGAGACTGCGGCTCAACAAGTGGAAATGCTGTGTGCCACAGAGTATGAGGGCCGCCTAATAGTGATCAAACACCACAATCGTATGATCTTCTTTATTTGAAGATGAACAGGGTTACAACAATCACATGTCCGGCCACCAAGAGAAGAACAGCGTGAAGATACGCTAAGATAGCAGCCGTCTTACGTAAATACATTCTAATGGTGGTGGGGCGCGCTGAATGGCAGCCCACGATCAGGAGAGAGAAGATGTGATCAGGTACCTGAGGTGTCCCACAGACTGAGTTCAACGCGCTGCTCCTCCAGCTCCAGACAGGCGGTGTAGTTCTCAAACACCGTGGGCACGTAGGTCTGGAGGACAACAAACAGCGTGGGGCCATTAGTGGGGAGACGTATGTCTGCCAGCTAAAGATAACTGATCTAGCTTTAAAACAAACAACAACATTTACATACATTTTACATTAATCACATTAAGCACTGCGGCGATTCTAGACTCCAGACTATAGCACGCACCAATAATTATCCCTCTGTAAAGAATACAATTCCATTGATTATGTGATTAAAAACAGCTGATGCCCCATAAGGTATTACGGTAAATGCACATCTAATAAACCAAAGAGGACAACGTGTTATAAGAATGCGCATGAACACGGAGTCTGCAGCATGCGCACCGTTTCTCTTTCCGCCACGTTCAATCATCATGAAGGTAACTCGGGGCTCTTATCATCAAAACAACTGCAGAAAACACACACGTTTAATTATATTTCCCCCCAAAACAAGGACCCACGTATCCGCAGCGTACCTCTGGATAACAATCCTTCGCCAGGACTTGCAACATCGCCGTTTTTCCGCATTGTACGTCTCCCACGAGCACCAGTTTGCACCTCACCACCAGCGGCTGATTGTTCCTTCTCTCCTTCATGGTGTCGGTGACGGACCAGTGTTTTGTTGCAGAAAATGTTGTTTAAAAAAAAAAAAAAAAAAAGATTCAAGCTTCAATACAACGCAGAAATCCTGGCAGTGGGATCGCGCGGTTCCCGGTGGGTCTCTGAAGGATGCTCGCAGTTGATCTGATTTCATTTTCCCCACATCGGGCGTTTATAGGGACGCGCGTCAGCCAATAGGAGCTCACCATTCCGCGGGCATTCTCAGCCCTTTACCCAGAAAGCAAAGGGAAGGATGACAGAAATAAGGCTGCGTTGCAAACAAACGGGTTTCTGATAGATTATGTGACAAAAAAACAGTGTTACATTGCAGGAGGAGCTACGTGTAAAACGACTTTGTCTTTTAAAGTTTTTAGGGCAGTCAGTTTCTGCAGACCTCTCTTTCGTCACCTGTGGATGCTGTCACGCGGCCTGCTGCAAAAGGATTGATTAGATCATTGACTGTCTGGATCATCAGCATGACAATGGGACTGATAGACCAATCCACAGTGGACTAATTGGTTTGCAGTGATCGGCACTGGGAGTCACAGCCATTTTAATCCTGAAATCTGAAATTCCCTGTCTCCGACTTAGCCAGTTGTGCGGGAGTTGTTATGATATGCTTGTAAATAGTTCAAATTTGTAGGAAATCCTTGACAATGATGTTTGAGTTCTCACAAGTGAGTCAATTTCCTCTTTCACCACAGTTGGTTTCGGTAAATGTTGTCTGATCAAGAGGCAGCGTGAAGCGTGCTCACTATAACAGAGCCACGTTGATCGGGATGGTGTGAGGCCCCCCGACAGGGGACCAGCCGTCGGCTGCCCACCGGATCAGGACTTGTGCGGATCAACCCCCCTGGGGGGGGGCACAGTGACTTTCACACCCCGAGGGTTATTACTGTATGGAAGGAGAACGTCATTGTTAGGACAAGGACAATTAAAAGATGAAAGTGAATTAGCTTCCTGCCCCTTTGTCTGGCCGCCTACTGGGTAATTTACTTACTGATGCCAATCAGAGTCATTTTGCCCAAGTGAGACAAACCAATTTGCCTTTGTTCACAAACAGCCCGGATGATTCACCTCCCATGCTGGAATCCAGTCAGTGTGTCTTGTTGCCATCGTGCATAACTCTCACGTGTGCAGGTTGTGTCTGCATGCAGGGAAGAAACACGTTTCGTATTGCTGTTTGTGTTTCATTTCCGTCAACAAAAATATTTTAGTGCGCTTTTTTCTCTTTATTCATGGTATTTCACTGTAAGAACAGCATGTTGATAATGCATATCATGCAATACAATCTAATGTTTATTTAGCAAACTCCGCCGTGTTGTGGTGCTGGTGCTAAAAGTGAGTCCAAAGAGAAGGTGGATTTGTAGAAAAAGCAGCCGTAAACATTCTTGCTAAAATTGTTTTAAAATGGTTCGATGTTGTGTGTAACTGTAGCCAGTTAAAGAAGCAATACATGACGTTAAGAGCAGCGAACTGTTTTTGTGAAGATAAAGTCAATAAAGTCAATGTCAGTGCACGTGAATGCGTTCATCTTCAGTTCGTCAGTCAAAGTTACAGAATTTTTAATTATTTTTCCTCCCTTGTCTTGTGGGTAAAATGTCGACCCTAAAAAAGATTTTTTTCCTGAAAACAATGACAGCTTCACTCAGTAAATAGATAATATGATTAAAATAGTGTTGCTGACTGACCCTTCATAGGGACGAGGCTCACAAATGTTCTACGCTGCTTACCGGTATGAAAAAAGCTTCAATACACAAATAGAAAAACAGTTGAGGAGACACAACGAAGACGATGAACTCTCTCTAACCCTCCTAAAATAACTGCAATGCATCCAGGGAAACCTGTGTAACCCCCTCAGAGACCGAGAGAGACAGGTGGCTGTGAATAATCATCAGGCATAAAGTTACACCTTCCAATATGGCTGATACTGGAGGATGAGAAGGACAATAGGGGGGGGGGGGGGGGGCTGACTTCTGGAAGGATGACGGCTTTGACGCCTTCAACCATCACACTGCCACTTATTTGGCAACAGTGATGGTAATTAACATCATCACAAGAGAGTGACAGTAGTTTACACACAACTCTCAGGAAATGAGGCAAAAGCTGAATCACTAGTTTTCTCCCGAGGTCTCCGAGACAGTTAGAAATGCAAAGTGGGAAGCTACCTTATTTGCTTTCCACAAACCCATCACCAGATGGTGTTGTAATCCAGGATTTGTATTTGACACGTAGCGACAATTCAGAACAACTCGCATGAGATCCAGCAAAGAAGAAAGAGATGTTAGGCTTCCCAAAGGATAACCATGTGATATCACCAGCAGACGATGGTGAAAAGAGGATCATGTTCAAACAGAACATGGGTTTCTGTAGCCCAATCTGAATGAGTGGCACTCAGGTGCAGTACTGAATAACTTGTACAGATTAAAGTATCATGTTTGGATTGATCGAAGAGGCTTATCTCTGACCTCTCCCTGTAATCTAAATTTGATAAAGTTGTGCAACGCTAAAACAACATCCCAGTCAAGCTTTGCCAACGCAAGAAGAATGTGGACACACATCGCAGACATCACAGACATCTTCCAGGGCTTTAAACACGATTTTGAAACCTGGCTGCAGGGATTTGCTTCCATTTAGCCACAAAAGCATGTGGGGGGTGCAGTTCATCCAAAAGGTACTGGGCCGAAACCAGGGCTTTGTGCAGACCATTAAAAGCCTTCAACGATCCTGGGAAAACGTTTTCATTGTAGGTCTGCTTTGTGCATCGAGGGCAATGCCATTTTGAAAGAGGAAGGGGGACATATCTAAAATGCTGCAATAAAACTGGAAGCATGTGTATGTCTAAGATATCATTGCATGCTGAATCAATGTCATTTATTCTTATTTGAATTAAAGGCCTGAACTAGAAGGTAAAATATATATATATATGTATTTTACCTTCTAGTTTAGGCCTATATATATATATATATATATATAGAAATATATTTTCTGCTTCCACCCAAAATAAGGAGGCACTAAAAACTCACAGTCGCCCCACAGAGAGACGGTGGTGTTGTTCTTGTGAATGTTGGACTGAGCACAGCTCATCTGCGAGGTGCAGACGTGCCGCTTCCTCCCTCTGCTGGTGATTGTGAGTCACCAGATTGAAATAAATAACAGACACCAATGTTACTTAAATGTTTGTGTTTTAATCACCTCCCCTTTGAAATGTGCTAAAGCCAAAAGTTGCACTCCATAGACACACCGTCATCAGACACTGTTGTGTTACGTTTGTTTGGTCAGCTCGGCAGAAACCAGAGGAAACGTTGACATCTTCATCGACAACTGGTTCAGTACTGGATGTGGGTACAGTTTGACGTCAAGTGCATTTATTGCATCGTAAAGCAGACATATAAATGATAGTAGTGCAATTACACCCCATCATTATTGAGGAGATATCTTGATAGTCTCAGCTAGTGTCTCGTCGATGGTGGACTTTGTATTGCGTACAGAATTTAGGCGAGAGAAGCGCGATAGGAAATTCTAATAGTAAAAAATTGTGCTTTATACGGCGAAAGAATAATTCAATATTTGTAGAAATTCCCTTCAATACAAATTAAGTAAATGGAGGAAGCTAATATCTAGTAAATCTTTAGCAAAAGAAGCTGTTGTGCTCTCTGTGTTTCATCAAGTAGAAGTTATGTACCTCAAACCTGGTCCTCAAAAATGAATGTGGGTGTCGGTGGATGCAAACATTAAAGCGTATGCGTAATTGCAAAAAGAGAGGAATATATATAAAAAACATGCTTTCTGAGGTGTTAAGTATAGAAGTGTGTACTGTGATTAAAATCTGTCTATTTCCTGTAAGCAATGTGTTGTTTCTGTGCAATTTGATGATGGTACCTGCATATCTAATATACCGTATGTACAATTAAGCCTTGATAACATGTGACTTGTGTAAGTCAAGTGGCTCGTGTGAGGATGGTCCTAAAAAGCCCTTCGGATAAAACAGGAATGCGATACGTCATGCACATACATTACAGTATTTACATAAGTTGTATGCTAGCTGAATTCTAGAGTTTTAGAAGGTGAAAGAGGTTGCATCATTGTCGAGAATGTCAGTGAATTACTTATATGTATTGTGGGTGCTGTATTATGTATAATGTGATTGCACTGATTATATGAACAAAAGAGGCAATTGTTGACTTTGCAACGTTTGGATGAAGCTTTTAGGATTTGCAGCAAATACATTTATTTGACTTGTCTTATGACTAGAAGTTGTACATATTACTCATGTATGTAGTAGTTAAAGTTAAATCTGGCCATTGCTATGCAGTTGGCAGAGAAATAGGAATTTGATAGGATTTGAAAGTATGAACTTGACTATTCCACTAGCGGCCCCCCTCCCGATACTCCCTACATGTTGGGCTGATATTCACATGTTTAGCTGTTTATGCATAATAGTACATCCACTTTTTCGATACACTAATGAGTGGACGAGTAGGTTATATTCAATGTATTATTCATCTTTAAATATATTGTCTTTGGACATCATACAGAAAATATACTGATTTAAGTGATTTTTATGTTTTTTGCAGTCCACTTGGAAACCTTAAGAACAAGACATGATGTGGTTGTTTCATCTCGCACAATTTATCATAGTCATTGTGAAGAAGTAAAATATATTAAACAGGCAATGGCAAATATTTCTATAAAGAATTATGTACTGTACAACACCCGGTAATAAGAGTAAGGGTTCTGCAAAAAAAGGACAGTCAACCGTCATCAATGCCAGTTTGTACAAGCCTGAGACTGGAGCAACAAAACTGTCCTTTTTTTGGATTTGCTTGTGCTTCAATTATGTGTCAAGATTTTTCCAATTTTTTCAGAAAAAATAAATTATAAATAACTTAACTAATTTCTTTGTGGTTTAAAAAAAAGAAAAAAAAAGATATTTCATGACAACCACAGTTTGGGGTTAATTTTGAAGGTTATCAAATTTTCCGCTAAATATCTGCAAACAAACCACAGTTATTGTAAATAATCCTTCCAGCATTTATACATTCACAGCTGTGACAAAATATGCATATAGTCTTGATGTGCAAGTATGTGCTTGTCATGCATGAGCTTTGCATCACTGTTGCATACAGATAAGTGAACTGTTATACCGAGAGCAAGATATGAATCGTACATAGTTGTATAGATAGTTGCTGTAAAACATATTTGTGAATAAATAACACTTTAAAAAGGCTACTGGATAAACAAGGAAAGGAAGTTATCATTTTCCTTGGGAGACCATGTTGATTCTGCTGGAAACAATTGTGCCTTTGAGGAGACATTTGGTTTAAACTGGAATGACAGCCGACGGACAGCTGTAGATACGGAGGACAAACAGACTCGGATTCTGTCTCTCTGCACTCTTTGGCCAAAAGGGGAAACCGGGTCTCCAGAGAGGAAACCCTGGGAAGCTACTCGTGTTTGTATCTTGAATAATACTTATAGTGTTGCTATGCTACAGTTCTCTTTTCTCTCCTCACATGTATTTATCTACAACCACAGCTGAATTAGCCCATGTGTGTCTGGGACTGCCTCCTCTGGGTGGGGAGGGAGGAGGAAGGGGTTGGGGGGGTCTGATCACACATGGGCCAACTCAGCTCTCCAGGCTGAGAAATGTGACTTCCAGTGTGAAAGCACGGAGGAGTTGGGAACGAGGTCAGGGTGGGAGGGAGGGAGGGGGAGGGGGGAGGATGGGGGGAGCGGGGGGGGGGGGGGGGGGGGTGGCGTGCAGGACTGCACTGCTGCACTGGTTTTTGTTACCAGTAAGAAGTGTAGCTGTAGAAAGCGGCCCTGAGTTGTCGCACGGTGGTGGGAGCAGGGAGCTCTTTCCCGAGGGGGCAGCAGTGAGGTGCAGGCTCCTCTCTTGAATCTTCCTCCTCCTCCTCCTCCTCCTCCTCCTCCCTCCTGCTCCTCTCCCTGTTTTGTGTCTCCTCTTCCTCCAGCTCACCAGCCCCTTGCTCTTTCTCTCCTTGGAGGTGCTCTGCTCGTGTTCTCTTCGCCGGCCAGGTGTGGCCAGAGAAGGTGCTGAGGGCTACTGCTGCCCCCTGGTGGCGCCCTGGTCCCTGTGCTCTTTGACCTTCCGGACGAGGGGCTTCCTGCAGTGGAGCAGGGGGGGCATTTCAAGACAAGAAACACTACCAGACATGAGTGGAGAAAAAGAAGAGTAAAGCTCAATAGAATATTGAAGATAAAACGTGAATCTATCTCACCTTTGTCCGTGGTAGTGATCATTCTATCAACTCTTGAGTCTCAGAAAACTAAAGAAAAGACCAAAAAGGTTGCGATCAATAATGCAGCCAACGTATGAATGAAAAGCAGCAGTTGTGTGTCTGTCTCACTTGTTGGCTGGAGTTAGCTGAGGGTGGGGTGACCTCACTTTGGTCCAGTAAGGGGTTAACAGGGGCAGAACAGGGGAGATGAGTAGCTCGCCAGTAAATGTCCAGGTACTCAGCCAGATGTTCACATGCATCCTCCAGCTGATTCTCATCCAGGATGACATCAAACATCTCCTGAAGAGCCAAAAACAGGAATATGGGCGATGAGAAAGCCACTGCATGAACGTCAAATCTTTTTTTGCAACTGTCCTTTTCTGAGGACTTTAACTCTAATTCATTTGTTTTGAGTTTCCAGAGGCAGAGTGACATACAGGTGGACACTGTGCCAGCTTGTCTCCTGCCATCATCTGGACGTTGAGGTGTTTGCTTTGTGACTTCCCTCGAGATTTGATCAGCCTCTGAAGAACCTGTGAAATGGGCAAGAAATAAAGACGGTAAAAACCGTAGAAAAGATTTTAAACGTGTTTTAGCTGCGTGGTCATAGACATTGATAATATTCAACAACCACAAAAACACCTAAAAATAAATGTATATGTAGTTGAAGGGGTGCCCTACTTTAGGTGAGGAGACTTTGACGTAGACAATGATGGGAGCCAGAGAGGTTTTGAGGAGCTGTGCTGGGTGATTGATGGTGTCTGCATCCAGGACGACCAGCTGGAGGGACTTGGCCAGCTCAAAGATCCTCTCTATCTCACTCTGGACCTCCGCTGCCAACAAACCAAAGAAAGACAGGCCGTCGTATGAGATCCCTCACCCAAGTACAAACGCATCTATTCTTAGCGGGTATTAATCTTTATTTAGCAACACTAGATCAAAGACAACTTTTCTCCCTCTCACCCAGACTGGAGCGCGTGTTGGATCTCTCCATTATGGCCTTCTTGTTCAGCACCGAGCGCTTCGCCAGCGATAGATCAGCAGTCACCCGCGTAATGGAGATCCTAAAGACGAAGCGTCTAATCACATCACGTCCACAAACTGCTCCGTCCCAGAAGATGACACGAACTTGTACACTCTTCCAAAAATAAACCCTCATCACCATGTGTCCTATCGACCATGAGAGGTGACAGGCAGGATCCCGTGAAGAGCGCTGTTGCTCGGCCACAGTGTTACTGTACACTGAGCTGCAGCTGTGGAAGAGTAACACGGACTAACGTACCTGCCATCAAATCTGTGCTTTAGGAAGTCAAACAAGGCTTTCTGCATCATGTCTGTTACCTACGAGACGGATAAGGAAGAGGGGAGAGTTAAATGAGACTGGTATTATGAAATATATACCAACGGACACGCAATTAGCCCAACAGTAATGCTTGTATTTATCTCCCAGCCACACTACAAGGCTGCTTTCAGGATCATCTGGATGGTATCTCACGTTGATTTCTTCTGATCTATAAGGTAACGTTGTATTTGTGCATGTTAAAGGTTCCCAGCTGGCGAGAGATGTGAGCGGTTTCAGCTCACACAAATCTAAATTACTCTACGACAAACCCAATGCAAAACTCTCTTAACTGGCAGAACGGAAGTCTTTTCAATTGGGGTTCCACTGGCAACACTGGAGGTGGAGAGAATTTTCTTATTTAAATGTTATTTACAGTGTGTTGTTGAAACTTCGCTCACTCCCCCAGAATGAACTCACAGATGAAGTAAGAGACACGTTTTCCCATTTGAAACAAAACAATTAGCATATTCACAGTGCCTTACATGTTTATCCTCTTTAGGGGGGAATATTATATTTCAGAGGTTATAGTTCTCCACTTAATGGGTTAGAAATATCTGAGGATGACATGGGGAGGAAGAGAGTGTGCTTCTGTGAGGAAGTGAGGGGCGACAGTTTATTTTCAAACAGTCCTGAAAAATGTATGTCCTCCAAGACAAAGTGTACAGGAGTGTCCATGATGTGACAGAGAAATGTGGGCACAGCAACGACGGGGGGGAGAACCGTGGATAATACTATGCACAAGAGAGGAAAAGCAGAGAGAAAGAGAACGTCAGTGGAAGAGAAAGGGAGAGAGGCAGCATGGCGTTTACCACTGGAGCTTCCCCAAAGCACATCACCAGAGCGATGCATGAATATTTCACACACACACATACAAAGCAAAGGGCTCGACACACAGCCGGCGCAGTCATGGAGGAGAGAGCGAGGCCGAGCTAAAATGTTGAAGCACAGAGACATCGCGTTCAATTACACGCCTCACATTTCAGCATATTCATCCGCGGGTTCACTCGAAATTGACACATTGTAAGATTGATTGAGTTAAGCAGCGAGGTGTTTTCATTCCTCTCATCTCGCTTGTGTTGCAGAGAGTTCAGGAGACTATCACAGACGGTAGCTGTCGTGAGAGGGTGTGCCGGCTGTCCTGCGTCGCTCGAAATGGATCTGAGATTCCTGCTGTGTGTTATAATTTCATTAGGATGTTACTGCGGTGTTTAGTATCAGTGTTAACGGGATAATGGAGGTGAGAGTGATTCCTTTTAGATCAAACCAGACGGGTCCACGCTGGACCAGAATACACACTTCAGATTAAAGTACCAGAGACTAAAAAAAAATGAAAGACCAAAAAAGAGAATAGTAATCAAACTATTTAAATGGACGGATTTAAATAATGGTAAATACCTTATCTTATCTTAAATCACCACTGGATGAAGTAATATGTTGAAACTGCTTATTTGTCTTAATAACAATAAAAACAAACTACACGGTAGTGGCTCTATGCGGACGTTCATATTCACAGTAGTGCTTTGAACTAAAGGATAACATCAAAGTTGAGGGTATTTGTCATAAACCAAAGTGCTAGACACATTTAAATCTGGACCGGGTGTTTTCCCTGGAGCGAAGCCCTCGAGGAAACACAACTGTGTGTCCCAAATTCAAAACTCTTTTAATGTATAGGCTTTTCACTTCACCTGCAATTAACGTCAATCTCTTGGCGGCACAAGAAAGTAAGTTATGGATGACGTAAGTCAGTACTTGATGTCATCATAGATGTTTGTAAAACATTTCATGGCATTTCATCAATCTATAATAATAATAATAATAATCTATGAGATATTTCAATCTCAACCAAATTGGAGGGCTGACCGAGCCACGTAGACATCCCTTGAGCCGATGCTAAAACACAAGCATACAGAGAAAAAGTAAACAATTCAGCAGCATGAATCAACCTACAGTAAGAAAATACCCATATTCGGAATATTACAAGCTCCAGATGTTTGGAATTCCGTTCAGAGACTGTGAATCACATGAAAAGAGAAAAAAAATATGGTCCAAAGCAGCTGCTCCATTTTCAACAAACCCAATGTAATTAATCCAAACACAAGTGAATAAGCAGAACCAAACGGAAAAGTAGTTTTAAAGGTTTTCTCACCTCGTATCCTTTCAGCGAAGGCCCCACCAGCACCACCGGGCGCATCGAAGGGACCACGTCATACGGAGGAACAAGTTCCGTCTGCACAATGCCACAAGCACGGACAGGCTTCACACACCACACGCTGACATTCATTTAGTCAAGTAACCAATGCATTGAGCTCACTTGCAGCTAGTGGCTGCTCTGCATCTGCAGAGCCGTGCAATGCATCAAGTGCAGCAGTGTAAATGAGGTTGTTCTTGAATAATTAATAAGGCGGAAGCCCGATGGAAAACATACCTGTTTCGGCTTCTGTTTGGCTTTCAGAATAAACAAAACAAAGATTAAGGATGGAAGCTAATTTATGGCAAAAATTGTTTTAGGAGAAAATATTTCAGTCTCGGGGCTTACAAAGAGTATACTAACAAACATGCATTATATGCTGGACTGAAGAAAGATGGAGTTACATTCAAAAAAGTACATTTTGGAGCGAAACTAACAAACTCTGTTGCCAAAGTCAAAGACACACATTTGTTCTAAAAGTGAACCTTTCATCCCAGGAGTAACCGCGTATGTAAATCTGACCATGTGATGCCGAGCAGGCAGACACAGCAGCGGTCTCCTGCAGTCCCACTTACCTGCAGATGGCGGGGTGGATCTCCAGCCTCCAGATGAAGCGTTCCCTCCTTTCCTGTGGAGCAACATAATGCAAAGCTTCGTTATGCGAGAATCCCCTCAGGAGGCAATTTAGAAAGAACAACTTTCCCAAATAGAGCAACACAGTAGTTACGTCAACAAAAGGAAAATCGTGGAGCGTGTGAGACAGTGAGCTGGTGGAATCAGGGCAAACACCGAGAGACAGAAAGACGGATACAGAGCCAAGTAGAGGAGTGATAACAGTGGACCAATCCCAATATCTTTGATTCAGATACACATTTCTGCATAGTCCTTGAGGGCTGGACTCACAATTCATAGCAACGTTTAGTGAATCTCAAGGTTACAGTGAAAGCCGCAGATGTAAAAAAGCCTGTGAGGGTGGGCACACCTCAGGGTGCCCAGAGGACAACGGGAATTGGCCGGAGATCGATCAGAGCTGTGTGACCTCTGACCTTGCTGCTGCTTTCTGCTCTTGTTTGATCCTCATGGCTTCCAGTTTGACTGGGCTCGGGATAAAAGTGATGTCTGCCCCTTCCTTCACCAGCCGACCAATCCACCAGTCATTGTTGTATTTCTGCATCAGAGTAAAATACACCTTTTACATCTCAGGCTGCAAAATGTGTGGATCAAGTTGAATAATAAAACTCTTGCATGTAACACGGCGTTAACGCAGAAGGCCTCTCACCTCTTTTATGTGCAGGAAGTCTTTTGTTTCAAAGTTAATAGCAGCACCTTGGACTGGACAATCTTCATCAAGGGCCCCACAGTAGCTCACATTGGTTTTCACTGCAAATGCTACCGGTTTGGACTGAATATTCAAATTACATACGGGAATAGTATCATTGCCTTCAATATATTCAATATATATTAAATTGATGTATTTAAAACCACCTCTGAGTTTTTACATGACTCAGCTGCTTAAAAACGGCTCCTCGGGAACTGAAGGTGAATTTAACGACGGGCGGTGACATTTCTCACCTTGGCTCTCTCTAGCTGTAGCTGAGCCTGGCGCTCGGCTTCACGCCGAGACGCCTCCTGGTCCTCCTCCAGGGACAGGTCGGAATCCGAGGGTCGACTAGTGCAGGAATCGGCTGAACCCTGCAAGAAAGCAAGACGGGAGAGGAGAGAAATAACTGTTGCAGTGCAGGCAGAGGGGACATAAATCCACCACAACACCGTTACTAATAGCTTGCAGCAGCTGTTGCTACTTGCTTAGAATCACTCATGGTAGAGCAAATGCAAAAGTACCTCTGATGGAGCTGTGAACGGATAACCTACGTCTCCCTGTGTGTCTCCCATGTCTTTTATCTCATTCAACCTGTCTCCGAACCTGCCCGTCCTTTCCTGAAGACGTGATGGTAGTAGTGTGATCTCACTAGCAATGACCGGTAAGTTCCTGCTGCTTTCCAAAGCAGCCGTCTCAGGGGAACGTGAGTGTGAGTAGTTCAACAACACCAACAAAAAGAACAGTACTTGTGGTCTGTTTACCCACTGAGCCAGGTGAAGAAATCCAGAAAAAAGAGAGTACTGATTATACAGTATGACACCACAAAATCCCTCTTCCCTTCCTTTTTTTCTTTAACCCAGTTCTGTATCATAAAATGATGTATGAGTTGTGCCACAAAATGAATCAATTTGAATTTTTTGTTTTGAGTCAATTTAGTGTTCTGAATTTGTTTGAGTATCATACTTCTATTGATGATGTAATTTATTTAAAACAAAATTCAAATGGAAAGTCAATTAGGATTCTTTTAATCTTGGAGACACAAATGAAACATATCTATGTGACTATACAACTGTCAGAGGCAGTGACGTAGCATTAAATAATGACAAAGGTTACTTATCCCGGGTAGGTTGTGAGGTGGACGGGTCCAACATTTACAGGACTTTCAAAGACAAAATATTACTTTACCTTGTGGCTTAAAAGTGTCGTGCTGATCAACAGGGAAAAAAATGGAAAAGGTGTGTCCTTGTACAGAAATCACCGGATTTAAATGAAGCTGACTTGAATTAAATTAATGACATTTTTACAACAATTACTCATGTTCCTCTGGCTCATCATCTGATTTCTAACCGTTTTTTATGTCATTCTACAAATGGTGTGTCCGATTTTTAGAATAAGCAAATGGAGCGTTTACGTTAAACGGCGAAGCAAAATAAAAGGACTCTAATTAGGGCTCCTTTAATACACCTACTATTTCACACTATTGGGGTTTTTGTTTTATTTTTTATTGATGTTTTTCTTTAAAAAAAAGGGTTATTGGCACGTAGCACAACTCTTACTCGCAATCATCAAATAACAGAAAGATGAATGACTTGAACACAACAACAGCAGCTGCAGCATGTGTCCTATCTATGGATCACTGCCATGGAAAATAACAAAGAAGCTCCTGCTTACCTCACGAATAAACATATAAAACTTCCAACCAGCCAACTGCTGAAAAAACTCTGACAAAGATCGCCTCACTAAATCCTACATCTTCCCTCTCACTCCGTCAGTCCCGGCTGCGTGCGGAGCTGGAAGCCGACTCGCGTACCAGACAGGAGCACCCACATAAGATAAATATAGCTCAACCACGTCAGCCTCCTCATACCTTTCCTCCCTACCTGTCTCTTCACTCCTGCCCACCACTTCCATCCCTCCTTCGCTTTTTCCCATGCCACCTTTTTTTGGGCTGAATTCGGCGCAGAGTTTGTGGATTTCATTCAAATACTAAAGGCTGCCAGAGGATGAAAGCAAAGCTAATTAAAGCACATGGAACTCTCTCTTTAGCGCAAAATATATATACGCTGTCTTCACCTACTGTTTACTGAACGCACTGCTTCAATGTTGCAGATTTTGATTTGAATTTGATGGACCAAAATGTGCATTCCTGATTAGATAACAAAAAAGACCAATAAGAGAAAACTAAAAACCCATTCCTTTAAACTTGAAAGCACAGGAGTGCCAATCTCTGCCTTTGTTACTGTCCAGACCCCAAGTCCTTTGTTTCAGCATCACAGCGCTTTGCTCACTGTAACATTGCATGCCAATTGAATCACCCAACAAGCCTCAATAGTGCAAAATTCTCAGATTTTCTTTGTGTCTGTCTTTTTGCTGCTGCGTTTCAATTGCAGATGGAAAGAGTCCGATATTAAAAATAACATCTTTACAAAGCAACAAAGCACAGCCTCCACTCTGACAGCAGTGTAGGCATTGATGGACACATATTGTACTGTATGGATGACACTACGTCGCTCCCTGTCACCCCACTGGCACTATTAGCACTATTTCATAAGGCTGAGCGAGATAAAAGGTGGTGCTTTAATCTAATGGCTAGTTAGTCCTCCGACCACTCAAAGCGCTTTAACACTGCATGTCATCATTCATGACAGGACGGCGTACATGGTGCCATCTGCACATCGTAGCGTTCATACCATTCACACATCAGGAGCCATTTGGGGTTATACATCAACCTGCTAACAGATCGAACTGCCGATCCTCTGATTGGAGGACGAACCTGCTCTCCACTGAACCACAGTGTAAATGTGTACTGATTGTAGAATGACTACTCATTAGTAAAGCTGACACGATGAGGGCTTTATTCTTTCAAGAAAGAAATTGTTATTTGTGGTTGCACACACAGTAAATCCCTGCAAAGCTGTGCTGGTCGGTAAGTAGTAGGATGACTTCACAACAAGACACAACAAATCCATAACATTCAACAGATGCGCTTCCCAGGGAGGTACAAGTTCAATGTAAAGCTGTAAAGTAGCCCACAGCGAGTAGAGACAGAAAGACAAACCGTGTGTTTGCTGTGCCACATGTCCAGAGAAGAAGGGACAAGGGAGGGGAAGAGAGCAGCAAAGTGAGTGAACAGGAATGTACTTCTGCCGAGACAAGAGTGAGACCGAAGGGGAAGAGAAAAACAGAAGAAGGATGTCTCCGAGGAGACAGACAGGGAGGGTGGGACTCATGAATGAAGGGACTGAGTTGGCATGCAGAGTGATTAAACAAAGAGGGGAGCATCAGCAGCGTACCTTGTTACAGATGAGTCCTTTAGCGCTGGAGTCGGAGGCTGACATGTTTCTGTTGCCAGCGCTCTCTTCTCCCCCATTGCACAGAAAAAGCAGAGCCCTCCTCCCCTCAGCTCGTGGTTACAGGATGGAGAGAGAGGGAGGCGCGCTCAGCCTAAGTGTTTCACAGCTGACGTTGCTGCGATGCCTCCAACAGCCATTTCCTATACAAAATTGATGCACTGACTGCAGCACGGGTGTGTGCAGGCGGGCATACCGGTACAGTTCAATGGGTTTCTTCAGCTTTGAGCCAGCATCCATGCAAGAAAATGAGCTTTTCTTTCCTCCCCTCCCCTCCCCTCTCCTCTCCTCTCCTCTCCTCTCCTCTCCTCTCCTCTCCTCTCCTCTCCTTTTCCGTCCTCTCCTCTCTCATGTTCTGCTTTAACAGAGCCTGAAAAACGTGACATAAAATCAGCCAGGCTGGTCCGGCGCTTATGCTCCGACTGCTCAGCATCATTTTTCACTGGCCCAGATAGAACTTCTAAAGACAACTGAGTCTGTAATTCTCCTTCCACTGCCCTCTCTCGTTCAGCCTTATGGGGTACGGCTTTCAAAAGGCTGGAAATTAGCAAGGAGCCGCGAGACAGAAGGAGAGGACATGGACGGAGAAAATGAAGGGCTGTGCCCCGCCTGTCTGCACCATCCTCCTAACAGGGAAGGTGATGCATGAGCCGACGGACCAGAAATGCAGCGGTGAGTCAGCAAGCAGCCATCTAGAGTCCATCAGATGTCCTAATCAGCCGGCGGAGCAGGTCTCCGCTGGGGGGAGACAACAGTTGTCGTTCCCGGCCAGTCAGGTTCCGGCACGTCTTCTCTCTCCAGGTTGCTTCAGGCACTGAGGACCCTACTTTAGCGTCCATTATGCTGGCAGCCCGCCACTGTCTCACCCGCATTCAACTTTGGCTGCTGAGGAATGAAGTGCACTCCATCAGGGCTTTCAGCAAAGAAATGTCTCTGAGCTATTTTTCTACGTGTTTTTTTTTAAGTGAAATGAAGCAAGCATAAAAACACATGCACACACACACACACGTTATCTGAGTCAGAGCAGCTACCATTCTTGGATGCCTGTGCAGCCGAGAAGATAGGACAACTACTTTCATCATTGGAGAAACGCAAAGGTGATATCGACAAGGGGAAAAGGAGAAAGAGCGTGTATAAAACGGAGGTACAAAAAAGAAAAATACAGATACAGGAAGACAGCCACTGCATTAGAACGATGGGACCAGAGATTAACAAAACAATCTTATTTATTCATTTTGCTCGTTCAGTGGGTCTAAATTTAGCTCTCCTTTCTTTCCCCTCCTCACATCACAGACTGGGATCGGCATTGGGGAGAGGATAGTGCAGGATTGTCAAAGTTCACTGAGTTTTGATGGATTCCCTCAAGAAGGAGCAAAGCAGATTTGAGACGGGCTCAGCTATATTCACTGATGCCATAAAGCCCATCTGTGAACTAAGATCCTATACAGAGAACAGACGGCCACTGAGGTTTGTCTGCAGCAGTATGCTCTCAGTAACAGGATATTACATCTGCCGCTGTTCAATCCTCCTGGTAACGGGATGCAGGTGTACTTCATAATGTTTCTTTTTTTAGCCCTTTCCTATAAAGTATATACAGGCCTTCGCAATCCAGGGAAATGTGGAACATTAAAGAGAAACAGAGCTTTTTTTTTTACAAACAATTACTGACAGAAAAGACGAGCTTTTGTGCTGATATTACTTTTGTTTTACAAAATGTCCATTTTATTGAGGCAAATAAATAGGACCCGCCGCCCAATATGTTTCTAACATTTATGAACAAAGATCAATTAAGCGTGTGTTTGCTTTTGTTGTTTCTGGGTAGAGAGGCGCAGCGCCTCCCCCCCCCCCCCCCCGCCCAGTGCTACCACGCTCTGCACCAAGTGGGAACATAATGGCACCTCAGAGCCGTGTTGAAGAGTTCCTCAACAAATCGGCACCTTTCAGCGCAGAAGCTTTGCAGTCGCCTGGCCTGTGTGAAGTGGGAGCTGAGGCAGCATTAGAGGGAGAGGTGGATCATCCGGAGCAAGTGCAACCAGAGTAGGGCGGAACGGATCAATAGGAGAGCCGCCCAGATTGATACTCCATCCTGTCCCGAGCAGCTCCACCCTCCTTCTGCTCTAATGTTACCTTTGGATACTGTCTCCATGACTGTAATGGGCCCTCTGGCAGCATGTAAATAAATACATCCAAAGCGTTTCAAACAAAGAACTGATTTCTCACCTAACACGCCGCGTCCACCCAGTGACAGCACACAGTATGGAGGTTTAATAAGTTACTGGTGTAAGGATGCCGGGGAAGGAGGACTCCCCACTGTTCACTTGCCCCCCCCAGGGATCCCTCAACCTGACTTCAACAAACTGCTTCAAAGTAAAGAGAGGCTGGAGCTAACCCACATAAAGCTGTGTACCCCCAGTACAGCTCACGATGGCACAGCGCTGCTGCATCCTTTATTCAATCAGATGTTTGTTAGATGCTGACCTGATTTAAGTTTCACACGGGCCTAATTGGTGAGTCTTGGCTGAGGGAATGTCAGAGTTTTCCATATGAAATGTTCACGTATTCCAGCTTTACGTCTTAAAAACAGTACCCTTTCTTTTCTTTTTTATCAAAAATACAAATATTTTTTAACTATGAATAAATGTTCTAAATAAATCTTTAAATTAAACATAATACAAAGGCAGTTTTTTCAAAAAAGGAACTCAAACAGAAGCTCAACTGGGATCGTTGGCCCTCTAAACATTGCTGGCTCATCAAATTTAATCAAGGAATCGCACACTGATGCGCCGACCCCAACACACACACACACACACATGCACGCACGCACACAAACAGAAAGCACTCCACTCACGGGATAGGCTTTTAGTGCTCTGTCTCATGCAGTATTTAATTGACCCCACACAGGAAACCTAGCGGTCCCAAATGCACTCCTTCCCCCCACCAACAGAGAAGGCATGAACGCCTGCAAGTACGCCCACAGCATCCCACAACGGCTCCTCTGTCACACAACTGCAATGAATACCATTTTCTGCTGTACATCAAATTTGTTCAAAATGCCCAAAATGTGAATGAAAATGTAGCCGGGCCTCACTTTGACAGCCGCATACATGAACTCGCATTTCTCAAACTTTAAATCCAAATTCCCGTAGCGGAGTTGAAAGCCTTTCATGTTTCTTCAATGCAAACCTGTGTCTTTTTTTATTAATCATCTGATCAGGTATTCCTGACAAAAGCCGGTTTATCTCGGCCATATGTGCCGTTTGCAGCAGAGATGAGATGCAGACGAGATGGCGGTGTACTTACTCGGTTGGAGGTTGGAGAGCCCACTCCCCGTCTCTCTTCTCCGTTCCCTCTGCTAGTCGGTCATGGTGTGCTCGCTCTCTTGGGTAACACTGAAGTGTACTGTAGCGTGCTTGTGATCAGTCTGTCCCTCTCCCTCTCTCTACAACCCCCCCCCCACCTCCTCTCCTCTCTCTCTTATTCTCCACCACTCTCCCTTTGCTACGTCAGTGAGGCTCTCTCTGCTCTGCATATCATCCTTCCCACCCTCCCTGCTGCTCCCCTCTCTTACCTTCATCTCTACCTCGTCTGTCCAATGGGACATGTATCGCAGCCGCCTCCTGAGTCCATTCGGGACGCCGTCACGACGCGACTGCCGCTGTGGCAAACAAGATTACGAGGTCCTGTTATGCTGGATGGGATTGTACTCTAATCTCTTCACAATGCTTTTGTGATGCAAAATCATGACACACTGTCAGATCCAGAAGCTCAAAATGTATGTGGACGCCTGAATTTAACAAGCCGATTATAATATTGATCTATTTCCAAAGTGTCCGACAATCCCACGGCGCCTCGACTATTCACGGAAGGCTTCGACGCTACTTTGGAACTTGGCTGCAGAGATTTGCATTTCCATCCATTATGCCACCAGCACATCAGTGAGGTCATTCACTGATGGCAGGTGAAGGTTATGGCCTGCAACAATTTGAAATCTCAAAAGATGTCAGTGCATGACAGTCAAAGACAGGGAACAATCGATTTATGGGAAATCTTTGTGCACGGAGTCAATGTCATGTTGGAGCTGTTGGAAGCTCTCTGTTGTCTGGATTATTGTGATTGTTTATGGTTTTATTTCCCTTGATTGGAAGTAACATATCATGCTTGAACCAATAGTACATGCGTGGACGCTAATGTCTTCAGCCATGTTCAAACACAATCTCAAAGAAGAAAATGAGGATTCTGCAGTACTGTCACATTGTTACTTCAGCCACTAAGGATTTCAACTTGTCAAAAAGCCAAAAGTTTAGAGACTGGAGAAAATCTGGTGGCGGATATGTGAGACATGTAAGTTTTCTCTTTTTGACATGCGAATGTGTCCCCGGTGTAGCCCTCTGTTCACCGCGTGGGTTTGGTAGACGTCATGGCTGCCGGTTCGCTGACACCTGCTCAGTGTACCGAATGTGCCATGGATGTGTACGGATGCACATTTTTAAAACTTTTTTTTATTAAAACTTTCCCAACCAACTACACATTTCAAGGGAAGACGAATGAATTTCAGAGAAGAAAAGTTGTGCATAAGATTGAGTGTAGATCCACAACATGCATCTTAGACTGAGCCGTATGACACCATAAAACCATAAATGTGGCTGATATGAAAATTCCCTGCAAAGCTGAGATTCATAATTCATAGGAAGGGTTGCAGCAAATAGTTGGGGGAAAGAAAAAGGAGAGAGAGAGAGCGAGAGAGAGAAAGAGAGAGAGAGTCATTTGGCTTCTGCATGCAGTACATGTGAATAAAACATGAACGAATGAAGGTTTGAAAGTTAAACTCCACAGTGCATTGCGCTGAGCGCGAGACAGGCAGGAAGGGCGGAGAGAGAGAACAGCTCCAGGAGCTGCACCCTTGCATTGAGTGCAGATGTCTGTCAGTTTGTTGTCCCATGAGAAGCGCTTCTGTGGGCAGAGCTACAGCTGGTGCATTATGGATGAGGGGCTATTTTAAGGTACAAGGGATGCTGCGTTTTGATTTTTGAGTGGAGGTAGATGACACCTGGCTCTTGCAAAGTCCTCTCATGAGTTGGTACAGTACTTGATGGGTTCAGACATGCAGGAACAGCACTTGATTCAACACAGACCTGATCCCTGTTTGAAGGGCGCACTCACAGAGCAGGGAGGAGGCAAACAGACGCTGAAGTAAGTGATAGTGTCACCGTGCGGCTTTGCAC